CCCTACAGTGAAGAGACTATTGAAAGGCAATATTTTTAAAGTCCTCATTGGCCCCTGCCTGCCTATTAACTCACCCAATGAAGCATCTATTCAGCCTTGTTGGAGTGTCCACAGCACAGCCATCTGGGCGGATGCCTGCCCATGCTGCCTGAATCACCTTTCACACTCTACATCCGGTGTAATGAAGAGTGCTTCAGCATGCTGAACTCTAAACACTGGGGCCTAGTGATCTTTGCCAGATATAAAAGCCACATTTGTTGGAGGGCTCTTGACAGGAAATTACCATTTTCTGGGCTAACTCACACTTGCTGCTACTACTGCCATTAGACCAAGACAAGAAGCTCTTTAAGTCTGCAGGACTTTGAGCCGATTATTGTTAAGGCCTTGCCCAAAAATGTCAAATTAATTCAATTTCTTTCAGTATTCTTGAAAAAAAATACATTAAATATGTCCCCCCATGAAATGAAGATTGAGTTCCTGCAAGGTGAAGATGGAGAATAATCTCTTTATTTTTGTCATCAGCTCATGGACTGATGATACATGGCAGTGAAAGTTGCCTCTGTCCACACAGCAAAATATTTTCCTTATGAATGTGCCTCGGACTTTACATTGCATTAGCTCACACTTTTACAGAAAGCTGCAAGTTAGTGTTGTACGTTAGCCACTACTTTAGGACTACCAATGAACTCATAGCAGAAATTATAGCACTTGTGAAGAACTGGCTAGAAGTTAACTTCATCAAGATACGCTTCAAGTCTAAAAGAAAGGATATAATCAAAACTACTGATTGATTGCATCTTTATAACCCTGACTGCGATCCTTTTCTCCACAATGTGAAGCTTATTGAGTATTAGTCTGTCAAACAGTGAAACTGTCAAGTCAATCTAAGTGCTTTTGTTAGTTTTGGGAGTGGCATCTGCAGCCTTACAAAACTTTGTCGGTATTTAAAAAGAAGACATCTGTTTCCTGTTGCATTCAGTACATAATTACTTCAATTGCATGCTAACAATCTCAATTCTGTTACGAAGCCATACAGTTAGGAACAATGATCCTTGTTGCAGGGGTGGGATCTGGATGGTATGTTTTTTTAAATTTCTGTTATTACTAGCTGTTTGATGACCAAGTGGTCATTGGGAAGGGTATATTGTTCTTAGAGCATTGTTATAGTTGCTGTGTATGTGTGGGAGGAACAAGAACTTTTCCCCCATATTTTTTTTTCTTTTTGTGGCATA